GAGTTAAAGGTGGAATCTCCCCTGTGGGGACAAGACAAGGGGGTCCTTTGGGAATGGGATGGGGTATGAGGTGGAGGTTTCCACATGGGGTCAAAGCAAATGCACCCTCTGTGCCTAGGATGAGGTTTGAGAGGGGGTGCTGGGGTTTGGGGTGGGGTCCCCACCAACAGGCGTTTGGGTTCTCTGTGACCCAGGTGGGGTCTGAGGTGGAGCTCCTCCTTGAGGGACAAGTGCAAGCTTATTCCAGTGTCCAGGATGGGGTCTGATACGGGTTCCTTCCTTTCAAAACTGTCCCCTTTGACCAGCATGAGGTATTTGGTGGCCTCCCTGCCTTGGGGAAAAAGAGACGATGTCCCCTGTGCCCAGGACAGGGCTTGAGGTGGCACTATGGGGTCTCACCTATGGGGAAAAGATGAAGATGTCCCCTGTGCTCAGGATGGGGGTTCTGGGGAGACAAGGGAGGGCAAGGCAGGATCTCTCCCCTGGGGTAAGGATGTCCCCCGTGCTTGGCGTGGCTCCCAGGAGGTGACACTGCCAGAGGCTCTCTGTGCAGGGGCCAGACCAGAGCTGCCATTCTGTCTGTAGCTGCCCCAGGGGCAGAGGTGCCGCACGCGGGGCGTGGCAGTGCCCGTGTCGGGGAAGGAGCTCCACGCCAGCGGAGAGCGGCCGCCGACAGCGACTGAGAGACAGTGCAGTCACCCATAAAGTAGAAAGCACTACTAAACAGCACTGCAGGGTGTAGTGTTTCCTACTTTATGGATGAGTGTACTGTGGGCTACGGAGAAGAGAGCACAGAGCGGCACCGGACCCACGAGCCCATCGGGAGCCGCCACGGGCCAGGAGCGGCCGACGGGCCCTGCCCGGCTCACGTCACCCACCCAGAGCTCCACCACCCTCCTGGGGACACTCTGCTTGTCCCCACCTGTCCCCCTGGCACCTGGGATGGCCGCGTGGGCGGGAGGGGCTGCCGGTGTCCCACGGGTGCCACTGAAGGGACCCATCCCTTACGCTGGAGGCCAGGTAAGCAGCACAGCCTCCAATGCACGTTTTTTTCCCCATCTTCATTTTCCACGTGGTGAAGCCCTGGGAAGAGCTGGGCAGCGGCAGCCACATGCAGCAGGGGAGGAAGTGGGGAGTCCTGGTGATCGCTGGGTTCAGCGGGGCGAGGGATTGCTAAATAAAACTCTTTTGGTATTGACTTGTGGATTTTTTTATGCAATTTCTGGGAAATGCAGAACTGGAGAAAAGCTCTTTGCCGTGCCCAGGGCTGCATGCAGTGGGGTCATTCCGGATTTGGAGCTTGGGGACACCACGACTGGGGGCGGTGGCCGGCAAATCTCAGCCCATTGACGCAGGATTGTCCCTTTCGGTCCCTGGAGGGTCACTGGCAAAGCTGCTGTGTCCCATGGCAGCCCCAGCCATGGTCACAAGGCCACACAAAGCCACAAAAATCCTCATAAAATCCCAGTCTCCCTCCATCCACACAACCCTGGCCTGTGTTTCCTGGGGGTCTCCTTCCACAGAGGAGGTTTGGTCCTTGATCCCCAAATGTCAGCTCCCAAAATCCCTTCAGACATCTTCCCTTTGACTCCCCATGTCCTGCCTGTGGGAGAAAGCATCTAAAAATAGCAGAAAAAAATATTAAAAAATATATAGTTTTAAATTTTTTGAACCTAAATGTAATATTTTGTTTATATTTTTATATCTATATTATGTGTATGTATATATATATATTTATGTTGTTATTGTAGTTTAAATGTTTGTTTATATTTTGTGAAACTTCTTACGCTGATCTCAGTATCATTTTGGGGGGTTTACTGGGTTTGTGATATTTTTCTTTCACTGAGCTGTCCAGGAAGGACCGGGGTGTTTTACTTCTTGCTGTCCCAACTTTCCCACGTTCCCCGCCTTTGTGACTGTTCAAAGGGGATGTGGAAGGAGAAAAAAAATCAAATCAAAACTGTCATAGTGCTCACAAGGAGACAAGTTTTTAAACAATAAAAACGAAAAAGGGCTAAAAAAAACCCCAAGCAGCCACTGCAGACTGCACTGAGCAGCTTTTGGTTTGTGAGCACTGGGAGGGAGAACCAAATTCATATTTTTAACGTGCAAAAGCTTTGAAAATTTACCTCCTAATAATGTGCAATCAAGTATTAAGAAGGATAAATATCCAATTTTCATGACCAAGATTTATTTTGGTTACAGCTACTACTCAGTGGTCACTGCTGGGAGGGATGGTTGGAAATGTGGTTCTTGCTGAGAGCAGCAAAACAGAAACTGCTACTTTTCCCCTGTTTTTTTTTTAATAAAACCCTTCCATTTTTCCTCTCTCCTTTTTAAGGAGACTTAATAAGACTTTAAGGACTTATCCAGCAGTAGGCTGGCCATGATGTGAAAGTTCATCTTCCCAAGCTCAGGGCCCCAGGAGATACCCTCTCCCCAGGAATGGTGTGGGGGGTGTGCCCCTTTCTCCAGGGCAGTGCGGTGGAGCCAGCTGGGTCTGGCACAGATGAGTGGAACAAGGGGAAAGATGCTGAGGACCAGTGGTGGCAGCAGGTCCCAGATGAGCCAAGCAGAGCCTGTGAGCAGCACGAGGCAGTGGAAGCACAAAGCAAGCTGGGTTCCGAGAAGGCTGACAGCCACACCAGATCTTACCAGGGCACGCTTCTCCTCCCACTGCTGCTGTCTCCTTCTAATGAAACCTTCTTGTTCTGTCTCGCTGGGGAGGTGAGCAGTGCCTGAGTGTTCTTCCACACTGGTTCTGCACCTGCAGAGCCTGCCTGGTACCTTGCCAGGGGAACAGCCATGGCAGGAACTGAGGGGATCTGAGCACTGGGAGATGGTGAGATCTACCCTGACCTGTTCCTGCAGCAGAAGAAGACATGTAAGCCTGTGATTTGGAGGTAAATGAGCACCAGAATACACAGGAAGGTGGGATCGGTTTTCTGGAATCTTCCCTTTGGTCTGTTGGCTGCATTTTCTGCTCATTACAAGCTTGGGGCTTCCCCCCACCACACACAAACACCCCCCAGGAATGGGCTCAGAGATGTGGGATTCAGGTGGGATGGCAGAGTCCTGCACACTGTGAGAGGTGATTTGTAGCCACACCCAGACGTGAGAGAGACTCTGCCCGAGGCAGTGATAACTCCCCACACAGAGGACCCATCCAAGTGGGTCTTACACCCATGGCACTCAGCAGTGAATTCGCTGCCTGATGGGGACTTGCCTGTGCTGCCTGGGCTCAGGCAGATGGGACACACAGCTGGTGGCACTGGGTTCAAGAGGTGACACATCTGCACATCTGGATGGGCTGGAGAGGCTGCTCAAAGGAGGTGCCTGCAAAGTGGTGTCTGACAGGGACACTGAACACCCCCCAGGGTACCTCCCCTGGAGAAGGTGGCCGCGGGCAGGTTCTCCTGGTGGCTCCAAGGCCACAAAGGGCATGGAGCCACACGTGTGAGATGCCAAATGCCACTCCCTACAGCAGGGAGGCACCAGCAGTGGGACTGAGAACTATTGCCACACACAGGGATGTGGGGAGGCAGGACCTGTCCCAGCTGCTCAAGGGTTTGGGGCTCATCAATCCCCCTTGGGTTTGGGATCGGCAAACCTTGCTCTGCAATGGGTCAAACATTGAGTGGGACTGGGGAGCAGGGCCAGACAGATGTCCCCCAGGGTGGCCCAGTGGCTTTCCCTGAGCATCACTAACGTTGTGCAGCCTGATGTATGATGTGATCTTCATAAAAGACACAGCACGGCAGGGAGGAGGCAGGGAGAGACAGAGCACACGCCTGCCTGCTCCATGTGCTCAGGGATGCCAGTGCTCGCTTGGCTGTAGCGTTATGCTGTGAAGTCCTGTCGCCAAGGATCACATCAACCACCCTCTCCCTCCCTGCCCGCTCTGCCTCTTGTCCCGGGAGTGCTGCAGGCGGGGCCCAGCCCTCTGCAGAAGAGGGCTGTTTCCAGCACGGTGGGTCCGGGAGGTCCCGGGGTTTGGCTCACACCAAAGGAAGGTGTGCGAGCGTGCCTGGGACAGAACCAGGCATCCTGGGGCAGAGCTGAGCATCCCCAGGGCAAAGTCGGGCATGTCTGGGGCAGAGATGGGCATCCTTACAGCAAATCAGGCATCCTGAGGCAGAGCTGAGCATTCTCGAGGGAGAGATGGGCATCCCTGGGGCAGAATCGGGAATCCTGGGGTAGAGCTGAGCATCCCCGGGACAAAGCTGAGCATCCCTGGGGCACAGCTGGGTATCCTGGGGCCAGAATCGGGTATCCTGGGCCAGAGCTGAGTATCCCGAGGCCAGAGCTGAGTGTCCAGGGCCAGAGCTGAGTAGCCCTGGGGCAGAGCCGAGGAGCGGCTCGGGCTGGTGCGGTGTCCAAACCCCGATCCCGGCGGCGTGCGGGGCTCCGAGGCTCCCCGGCCCCGGTGCGGGGGGGATGCGGTGCAGGAGGATGGGAGCTCATCAATAGTCACCAGACCCCGCTCCCGCAGCGTTGCCGTGGAAACCGGCGGAGCCGCCGCCATTGGCGGCCCGGGGCGCGGCGCGGCCCCCCCGGGATGCCCGGCCCGGCTCGGTATTGATGACTCGGCAGCGGCGGCTGCGCCGGGGGCTGCCCGGGGCCGCGGAGAGAGACCGGCAGCTCCCCCGGCCCCTCCGCTACGTCATGGGGCCGGGGGCGGCGGGGGGCTGAGGGCGGCGGGAGCAGCCTCCGCACGGGGAGCCGCGGATCCGGACGGGGACGGAGCCATTCATTCCCGGTGCAGGACGGAGCCATTCATTCCCGGTGCGGGACGGAGCCATTCATTCCCGGTGCGGGACGGAGCCATTCATTCCCGGTGCGGGACGGAGCCAGCCCCGGTGCGGGGATGCTGCTGCTGCTGCGGCCGCCCCCGGCCCCGGCCCCGCCGCGGAGGAGCGCGGCCCGGGCTGCTCCCGCCGCCGCTCTGATGCCTTCGGCTTTCCCTTGCCGGCTCCCGACGCCCCGGGCAGCCCTGGACGATGCGGAGTGAGCCCAGCCCTGCCCCAGCCATGCAGGAGCCGGAGCGCGGTGCCCCCGCCGCCTCCGCCCGCCCGGACCTGGACACGCGTGAAGGCGAGGGGGGTGACACGGCCGGCTGCCAGCTGTCCCCGGGGTCGGAGCGGGACGGAGCACCCCAGCCCCAGGAAGAGTCCTCGGGAACCCCTCACGTCCCCCCGCCGGACCCGCAGCGGGTTCACTCCGCACCGGAGCTCGTCAGGCCGCCGCGAGCGATGGACCGGACAGACAGATCCCCCCAGGTGAGGCGGGGGTCGGGCTGTGTCTGCTCATCCTGGGGGACAGGCGGGGAAATGTCACCTCGGTACAAGACGGGCACGGTGAATTGGGAGCCCGGGGCTGCGGCTGAGCCAGCCACAAAACCATCCCCGTGGGGCTGGCACCTGCCACAGCCCCTGCCCCACAAACCGGGAGAGAAGGGAGCCTTTGCTGCCCTTCAGCAAGGATCTCCAGCTGCCTCTGTCCTGGAAGGCGCTGGAGCTGGTGCAGAGCCCACCTGGAGCACGCACAGCCCCGCACCAGCCAAGACTGAGCCATCCCTGCGGCATCTCCCCGTTCCGGCAGCATCAATGGCTCTGCAGGTGGTGACAGGGACATGATTCACTGCCACCCTCTTCCAGAGCATCCCTTCTCCTCTCTGGGGAGCGCCGGAGGGCTTGGAGCACCTCCGCTGCAGGAGGAACCAGTCCCTGCAGGCACCTCGGGGCAGTGCAATGCCCGGCCCCTGCAGCATCTCCCTAAAACCAGCCCAAAAGGCTTCCTCAGGGTCTCACCGCCTTGATCTAGGTGAGATCTAGGAAGTTCATCAGCTCACCCTGTTTAAGACAGTTTGCCACCCTTTTCCCATGGGGAACATCAGCCATCTTCCTAACAGCTCCTGGGATCTGGGGAAGCTCTGTGGTGCTTTTAAAATAGGGGAGAAAACAGCTCTTGACCTTTTCTTCTTGAGCACAGGGGAGAAGAGCTGACCAGTGCTGGTCGGGGTGTAGCAGGGCCGTTTTAAGCAAGGCTGTGCCGTGCTGCTGAGCCCAGCCTGGAGCAGCCTGCAGGAAAAACGGCGCCCCTGGAAATCCACTGAGGGAGAACATGATTTCACTCCAGCCCAGTTGGTTAAGGGTCTGTTCTGAAGGGCTGTTTATAGTGATGCTCAGGGAAAGACCACATTGAACCTTGGTCTCACTCTGACCCCAGCCCTGGCTGTGCCAGAAGCACTGCAGTCAAAATCTGGGACAGCAGAATGGGATGGATTTCTGCTCCCACCCCTCTTTTGTATCCCAGCAGTCCGGTCGGTTGTGCCAGACTTACTGTCTTCAGAGAATCCTGGAATGGTTTGATTTGGAAAGGACCTTACAGACATCTCATCCCAGCCCCTGCATGGGCAGGGACACCTTGCACTAGAGCAGTTTTCTGCAAGCCCTGCTCAGCATGTCCTGGAGCACTTTCCTTTGGGAGAGCCAGCTGGCAAGGGAGGGAGTGGGCGCTATGTCCCGGTGGCAGCCTGGCTGGGAAGGCTGGGACTGGGAGGAGGGCAGGTTCAGAGGGTGCCTGTGGGTGCTCCAGCAGCTGAACTGCACCTGTGTGGTGGGAGCTGCGCACTGATCCCTGCAGTGGATCCCCCATTGGGCTCCATGGAGGTGACTGCTGAGCCTCACTATGAGGTGACCTGCCATCCTTTTGCCTGCCGGCTTGCCTTGGTCCTTGCTCTGCACTGAGTGTTCTCCTGCAGTCCTGGAGGCTCCTGCCTGGCTGGGAGCCCTCCCATGGCATTCTGGCAGCCACATGGTAGTGCCACCACAGCACCATGTACTGGGGCAGTGCTGTGGTGGGGCTGGTGGTGCTGTGATGTGCTCTGGTGCCAGAGTGAGGGTGCTGTGGGACTGGTGTTACTCTGCTGCATCATGGCAGTGCCACAGTGGCACTGTGATGTCACTGGGGTGGTGCTGGTGGTACCATGGCAGTACCATCCTTAACATCGGTATTGATCTCCAGAAAGGTTATCTTGTGTTTTCCTGAGGAAAAAAAAAAATAATCCAGCAGTTTCTCCTGGAGCCAAGTGGTTTTAGGGATGTGACAGGCTTCCAGTTCAGGCCTAGGAGGGAGCTCAGTGCTGCTGTCCCCAGCAGAGCAAGTGCTCTGGTGCTGCTGGGCACCAGAGTGACACCCTGCAACCTGGAGACAAGGTGCTGTTTTAGAGCTGGGGCCAAGACAGGCTTGCACAGCTCCCTTCCAAAGCTTGACTGCTCCTGGCCAGGCTGGGACATGCCCTGTGTGTCCTGCTGCCAGAGCCGGGCTTCCTTTAGGACATTTGTCCTTGGGATGTCAGAGCTGCATTCTGTGAACAGGACAGCTGCCTCCAGGGACTCCTCTCCTGGTGTGGGGAAGAGCCTCCTGAGGGCTCATCACTGACAGAGTGGATTAAAGATGTTGATTTTATGTTGAAGCTCTTGCTGTGTTCGCAGCCTCCCCCATTCCCTCGGGGACAGGCTGTGGGGAGGCACTGACACTGTAGGTCAAGGTAATCTTGCCATTCTTGCCTGGGGCTCTCCTGAGTGTGGAGAGCTGTTGCCCTTCTCCCATCTGGGAGCTGGCAGAGGAACTCTGGAGTTAAGGAGGTGTGACAAGGGGACACACCTGGAGCCTCCTACCCAGCCCCTGCTCCCAGAAGGCTCCAGAGACGAAAGAAACTGATCTTGTCCTGACTAGGCAAGTGTTGGGTATCTCCAGGGGCTGGGATCCCACCAGAGGAATGTTCTCCATAGCCTGGTGGGAATTTTCCTTGTTGAGATTTGTGCCCACATCTCTCATCCATTTGTCAGGTGTCCCTACATCCCGCAAGGCACTGCAGGCTTTCCCAGCTCCTCGGCAGAGCAGTGTATCCCACCATGGCCCCACTGGGTAATGCTGTCTGGGGGTTGTCACAAGTGCATCCTTCCTCCTGGGCCTTTGGAATTGCTCTGATCTCGCTTCCCAAAATTTCTGTGTGCACATGAGACGTAAGAAATTACTTTCCTGCTGAGAATCTCCAGGCACTGCAGGGGTGGGATCCCAATCCAAATAATGAATATCAGAGAAGGAGAAAAACGTTGTCTGTGTAGGAAGAACGGGGTTAAAGTGGCACAGATACAGTCTGTCTGGAAATTAGAAAGTTCCCAGAATGATGTCAGATGGATTATAGAGCACTTCCCACAAGAACTCAATTGCCTGCATCTCCCGGGGGATGCTGCTCCAGAGGGATCTGCTTTGGCCCTGGAAAACTCAGGGTGGTTTGGGAGTGGGTTGCTGAAGGGAAGGCTCCCTCCTGGTGCCCTACATTGGACAAGGGAAGAGGATCAAGGTGATTCACTTTCTGCAAATTCCCTGCATCCTTCCCTTCCAGGATTGCTCATCTCCCCCGGCTCCCCAGCTCACTCATGGAAGGGATGAGCTCAGCAGCTGACCATTCCCTGCTCCCATCCCAGAACCACACAGGCAAGGGGCACAGTTAGGGTGTTCTGAGCTGGTTCTTGTGACTTCTTCTCAATTGCAAGAGGTTGCTTTGGATTTGAATTTCTTAAAATCCAAGCCTCAGCTTCCCTTGATGTCATGTGGAGCTAAGAATATTCAATAAATCTGTAAACCCAACTGAAAATGCTTCAATCAAGGAGCTCTCAACTTAGTAGGAATTTAAATAGCCACAAAAAGCTGTTGGTCCCAGTGGGGCTTAATAAAACAAAGCAGAGACACAGGAACAATTATAAAATGCTGGTAAATACCCTCCACATCAAGTGCTCAGGCCAAGCTACATTTAATGATAAGCTTAGTGCCTTTTGCAGGAATTTGTGGTCTTTCAAGAGCTTCAGATTTTCCACAGGGAAAGCTGGAAACTGTTCATTTGGTGTCTGAGGTGTAGAGCTGCACCCTTGACTGGGAAGGGTAGGTCAGCAGAATGAAAGATGGCAGTAGGACAGGGAGACCTTGGGCAATGGAGCCAGTTCTTGCCATTTCCTGCAATCCCAATTAGAAGATTGCAGTCCATCATGCTTAAAATTGGAGTAAATTAATTTTCCTTGGCTTGGCAGTGCTCAGCCTCATGAAAATCAAGGGACCTTAAAGCTCAGCCAGTCCCACATCCAGCCACGGCAGGGACAGCTCCCACTGTCCCAGGAGCTCCAGCCCCAGTGTCCAGCCTGGCCTTGGGCACTGCCAGGGATCCAGGGGCAGCCCCAGCTGCTCTGGGCACCTGTGCCAGGCACTGCCCACCCTGCCAGGAACAATTCCTTCCTATCTAACCATGCCGTAGCCCGGGCAACTAGAGCAGGTTTTTAGCCAACGAAAAGGAAAGGTGTTCTTGGGCCCTGGGAAGCTGCCAGGGATTTGGGAAACAGGAAAAAGTGGGTGAGAAACTGCAGTGCAGATTTCTGGGCAAAAACTGACTTGTGCATACAAAATCTGCCCCTCAACTCCCTGATGTACTCTGCTAGGTGGAGGAGCAAATATGCCTCTTCAGAGCTGAACGTGGTGAGGAATCGAGTATTTCCACTTAATCAAAGCTCACCTGTGATCATGGGTGCTGCTGCTGAGGCTCTGTGGTGAGAAGGAGAGCTGGTGTTGACTTTGCAAGCCACGATCCTCTTCGAGCGCTGTGGCTCTTCTGAATGGGCAGGGGATTTACTGAGCTGCAGCTCAGTGGCTCCCAGGGTGAAGGCAGCAGTCTCTTGCCTTTATTGGGAGTGTTTCTTTGGATTAGAATTTCTGTTACAGGAAAGATGAGATACCAGAGAACAATCATCCCTGCTCCAGCCATCAAATACCAAACCTGGAAAGAACTAAATTTTATCATTCTTCACCAGGGGTTTGGGGGTTTTTTGCATGTTCACAAAATAGAATTATCTGACATGTGGCATCCAGAGAGAGTCCAGATGCTCCACAAAGACCTCAGGGTGGTCTGGGCCTGAGCCTGCAGTGCTGGGAGCTACACACTGACCTCTGCTTAGAGCTAAGCAACAAAAAGCTCCAAAAATGTCTTATAGTAAGCCAGTAGCCGTGCTTTAGCTGAAATGATTTGCAATGTGCATGAGTACACAGCGGCAGAGGTTGCAAAGTCCTTCTGTGTTTGCACTGAAGTTTTTCACACATTGCTTCCCACATCTACATTTTGCATTTTTCAAATATAGTTGAAATACTGTTGCATGAGCTACTTCTCTGCAGATTCAATGATTTGTTCAGCGGCACCCAGAAAATTCTGCAGTGGGGGAAAAAGACA